ATACATATGTTAATGACCATTAACATATGTATGTATGTTAATGGTCATTAACATATGTATGTATGTTAATGGTCATTAACATATGTATGTATGTTAATGGTCATTAACATATGTATGTATGTTAATGGTCATTAACATATGTATGTATGTTAATGGTCATTAACATATGTATGTATGTTAATGGTCATTAACAGTTGTATGTTTATTTTTTGTCTTTGTTCTGTTATACTGGTTCAATAGAAAAAGGCCATGTTGGATGTTGCACTTACGACGCAGAGGCGCAATTCAATCATGTAATCTGTGCTGTCCCAATTCTCAGTTTTTTTGCACACTTGTAACCTGCTCACTCAAACACTTACATGCACATCGACTGAATCCACACTTCACAGAGGGTGCSCACTGAGCATTGGGACTGTGCCGGTGTCATGAATATAGCAATGAATATGGGAAAAGTATTGTAAAAAGGTAAAGGTGGACATTTTATTTTTATTTATTTATTAATGTTTTTTTATGAAAATATCTCATGGACCTCTGGACACACTAATGCAACTTGCAGAGAAAGTAATCTTTGGATGTGCATCTGCACAACAGATTAGTAATAAATGAAGTTTGATGCAAGATGGGTGCCACAGCCAACTGACTTTAAGAACAAACCAAATTTGCCTCAACAGTCCTACAAATATTGAGGCCAAATTTGGTGCGGTAATCTCCAACACAAGTCCGAGAAATGAAAGATGAGGATTTTTGTTTAAAAATAGTTTTAACTATATTTGGATTTAAGTGTATGTTGTCTCTTTAATGGAGTTTAAGGAAACTCCATGCAAGTCTATGACTGATTACCTTTTGGAGACCATCCAAATGAAGATGATCGCCACATTTAATTAAAATTTGCAAACAAAGTAAAAAATTTTCAATTACACATTAAAATTGACATGAACTTAGTTGCAATATTGCATGAGGTTGTGTAGAATTCTGTTTTCATCATTTTGACCTATACTTTTCCATTTATCAACATAAAGTTATCTTTAAAAAAAAGAAAAGAAAATATGTTTAGGGTTAATCAGCAGTACCATTTTATTTATGAGATAAGACCTTCACAAATTCTCATTTTCATTTACAATCTTGTCAACAAAAATGCAAAATGAACCAAAAAAAAAACAAAAAAAAAAAACAACAACCAAACAAACAAAAAGCCAAAATGGAAGATTGGTTATTTGCAGTGAACACTCTTAAAAGCTTTGTATTGTTATCCCATAGTTACCCTCTTAGAAATACTCCAAAGTCACACAACAAGCTGGATTAACTCTWAAAGCATCAAATCAAAATGGGACAGATGTTCTTAAACATGCTTACTGAACACATCCTTTATTTTTATGAGCTCTCTCAGTCCTTTATCAAGGTCCTCTGCCAAGGCATGAAGTTTTTTGGCCAGCTTCGACTCGAGACCTTTYTTTACTTTCATTCCATTTTTTCCCTCGATAAAATAAAAATCCATACCGAGCGCAAACCCTTTKATGGATCCGGCCACCTTGCTGCTCATGTCTGAGGTCATGGCAGTAGCATCTCCTGTAACCAGCTTCACTACGTTTGCCACCCTAACTGATCTCCTCTCAGTAACATTGAGAACAGACACACCRTGTTGCTTTAGTAACTCCATGCCTTCATTGATGTACTTTAAACAGCTGAGAATTTCCTCATTACGATCATCAAAGTCTTTCAAGGCTTTCTCCATTTTCTTCTTGTCAGCTGTCAGATTGACCTGGAGGAACAAAGGTTTAAAATTATTATGAAGAGGTTTTAAAGCAACAGAGAGTTCAATTTGAAATGTTTGCTTTTATTTGGTACCACTAACAAATGTGTTTAAAAGCTGAAACCATCTACATTTTCATTGGATCAAGATTTGTGTCTACATTATCTAATACAGCTCCTCCAATAAAATTACTCAACAAAAATATATAAATGCCGTGGCAAGAATTACTACATTTTTTGACAAGATTTATTTTTTTTCATGTTACACCATACGTCTTAGTAAGATCATGCACCTGAATGATTTATATATTTAAATATATATATTCAAGAAAAGCCAATAAAAAGTTTTTAAAAGCTGCCTTATTTAATGGCCTAAAGTCTGGAGTTCACCTTGTTTGCGATGGCTGCAGAAGCACCAGTGACACCTCCGGCTGCAACCACACCAACACCAACAGCAGTAAGGGCCAGTGAGGCTCCTGCTGTGAATGGAGACAGGATCACACCAGCAGCTGCTGCCACTCCTCCTGCCACTGCTGCTGAACCTCCTGTGATGCCAGCGATCTTTGTGCCCTTTGACACCTTGAAAATAAGGATAAGAAAATGGAATCCAATGCATATTTTGTACCCCAACTCTGCTAAAATCAAGAGAGAGTCCATTTTAGACTCTACTCTTTTACATAACAGCTTTTTATTCTCGTAATGACAATAATTACCTTGTCCAGGTTATCACCAATGCAGTACAGATCAGTAATATGTATTTTGAGTGTTCCACAGTGTGCAATCATCAGCTGGTCATACTTCTGGATTGCTTTGTGGAGAACTTCAGCTTTCACGATGACCCTGAAA